CCACGGCGCCCCGGCCCGAGGCCTGGCGCAGAGCAGCGGGAGGCGGCGCAGGCCGCGGCGGGGCCTGCAGCGGCCGCCGACCCCGCAACGCGGGGGAGAGAGCCCTGGAGCGGCTCCGCCTCGGGCTCGGCTGCTGGGGGCGTCCCCTCAGCTACTTACCGGGGGAGAAGAGAGCCGGGATCCCGGGACCCGGGGCTGGACCGCGGAGATGCCCCAAACTGACACGGCCGCCATCTTGGAGACAGTGAGCTTCGGCCGGGGGGAGGGGCGGCAAGGAGGGGGAACAGCCACAGGGGGAGGGGACTCGCGCGCGGGAACGGCCGCCGAGGGAGGGAGAGGGAAGAGCCAGGCTGCGGCGGGGCGGGGGTCGGCCAGGAGCAGGAAGAGCTTGCCGGGAGCGGGAAGGGCCGCAGCGCGGGCGGGGCGCGGGAAGAGCCGGTGCGGTCACGTGGGGCAGTTACAAAAGGCCGACGCCTGCGAGGGCTGGGGCCGGCAGGGCAGGGCAGGCTCGGGGCAGAGCTCGCTGTGCTCGTCGGTGCCGCGGAGAGAGGGAAGGCGGTGCGCGCCCCGTGGCGCGGCTCCTTAGCTGAGGCCCTCTTAGCGCTCAGCCAGGCCCGACGCCGCCACTGAGGAACCGTTTGGCCCGTGGAGCACAGGAGGGCTGGGCCGAGGACCCTTCAAGCGACCGCCTGCGCGGGGCCTCGCGCAAGGTCACGCGGGGCTGCGTGTCCCCGCCGGGATGCTGGGTTCAGGCCGCGCGCTGCCACGGTTCTGACCCGCCGCCGCTTCTTTGTCTGCTCCCTCTGCCGCCTGAAACTCAGGCGGAGACTGAGGCAGATTTTTTTGTCCAGCATTCATTGAAAGGCGGTAAATGACAGACGAAAGGACACCGTGAACGCTTACTAGTCTTTTGGACCCATTCCTGCTCCTGGGCCTGTGTCTGCCTTGTGTCCCCTGCATAGTCTCCCCACGCCTCTTTTTGTCAGCTTTACCCATTAAAATCGAAGCAACTCGTCTCATCTGCCTGATCACTCAGTTTTAACTTTGATGGTCACTCCCTTTTCTGAACTTAGATAGTACAGATCATGTGCTCATCATCCAGCCTGCACTTCATGTGTGGTCTTTACTTTTTATGAATAGAGCCCCAGACACATGCTCACTTATGATACCTCTTAGGGACTCCAAGGTCTAGCATAATGTGCAAATAGTAGGGGTTCCCAAAAACAGTGTTTCTAGTGAATGAATTTTTTTGCCATTTTGAGACAGGATCCTGCTAAGTTGCCTAGGCTGGCCTTGAAATCGAAATCTTCCTGCCCCAGCCTCCCAAGAAATTGAGGTTAGAGGTTTGTGTCCCACGTCTGGAGAGATTAAACTTTTTAAGCCATTAAGAAAGAGAAAGTTTCTGGGCCGGGGATTTAGCTCAGTGGCACTGCACCTGCGTTCGATCCCCGGTACTGGGGGAGGAGCGGGGGAAGAAAGTTTCTGTCTTTATACTCTGTCTTATTAAACTTCAACCAGTATTTTCCTGGCTCTGTACCCCTTGTCCACTCATCCTTGGCCTGGTGGTTCAGTATCATAGGCTATAAAAGCCATCCTGTAACAGTAACAGCATGAAAACATTCTATTTTCAGGTGCTGGACCTACAAACTCAATATCCTGATACTGAGATCGGTAACCCCTCATCTATTTCCAAAATCAGAAGAGAAATCTGGAGATACAAGATAATTATTATAAAGGTTATTTTCCACCCTTGGTGAAGCAGGCTTAATGGAAACATCCAGAAATTCTTAGGAAAACAAGTTTCTTACTTCCCAAAGAGGACTTATAAAAGCATATTAATGAAACAAATGGAGTTATTTGTGTAACATGAAGTATATAGTTTTCAAGAAAAACGATAGAGATGGGTCGTCATTGCTTTTGAATAATTTGGACAAAAGCTAGCCGTCCCTGAGAAAGACTGAGCTGGAGCCTATGCACCACAGGGGGAATATAGAACTCTTGCACTGGCAAAGCCTTTCAAAAAGCTTCCCACAGACTTTGTTTCCACGTTTACTTAACAAAATGACACCTTGAGGTCTTCTCCAAATAAAAAGTTTGCTACAAAAGATTAAAATACTTATCTTTTACAAGTTAAAAAACAAAAAGCTCAACCTTTAGTTTTTCTTGTTGTTGTAACGGTTCAGTCTTGCAAGGCTTACAGCTTCCATATTTTGCTCTAGGGATCTCTGCTTTTCAGTAGTACTTAGTAATACGTTTTGTGCAGGCTGAGTCCTCTCCAGCCTGAACTTGAAGATTGCTTCATCCAAGTTTCGATGGGAAAACTTTTCATCCGTTTTTATTTAATATAATTCCCGGTATAGTTAAGTTTGTGCCTACTACCATACTCTTTTATTTTCTTTTGACAAATCTACTTTATGTCTCTTCTTGTCCTGTATTGAATTAATAAAATGTTTTAGTTTTACCACTAACCCTCTCCATTACCTCAAGTGGGTTTTGGAAATTACAGTATTCCTCTTTGATGTAGTAGAATCTAATGTAAATTATTACTTTGAGCAATTTCCCAGAAATGCTAATACCTTAGAACACTTTGCCTTGTGAACTAAAAATCTTCAAAGTAGCTACATCTGTATTAAAAAACATGGCCTGAAGATGTGGCGCAGTGGTAAAGTACTTGCCTAGCATAGGCAAAGCACCCACCCCACCAATCACCAATAACAACAACAACAAAAATCTCATAGGCAGCTTAAGCTCACCTGACTAGAACATCAGGGATGTGGAGTGATGGAATGCAGTAGGTCAGCAGCCAAAATTGTCTTGGGCTATCTTCTACCCTTTATACGCAGTTACCTAAACTTTTGTATCTGACCTACATATCTGACAATCATTAAAAAGAGTATTCTTTTTTTTTTCATATTCTTTTATTGGTACATTTTAGGTATACAATTTGTTTACATTTATCATTGGGTGTTTGTACCTGTACATGATGTATCTTGGTTCTTATTTTTTTCCCATTACCTGTACACCCTTCACACGCTCCACCTTTCCCTATTTACATAGACTTTGTTTCCATTTTTTTCTTTTCTCATAATTTTTCCTTTCCCTTCTTTCCTTGCCCCTTCCCCTACCGCTTTGTACATTTTCTTCCTATTTCAAACTATCAACTATTCATTTTAATTGTTTTAATCCTTATCTACACTTTCAGTTTCTCACACTAGAAAAAGTATTCAGTATTTACACATGTGTATCGTATTTATTTCACTTAAGAGTATGGCCTTGATATGCTTCCATTTAGCTATAAATGACTCTAGTTGAGAAAAAGGGACTTCATCCCACCACTCCCAGCCCAGAGGAAGGGGCTTCCAGGCCACCATCCCTCCCGCTGCTCACGGCCCCTGTCCCACCTCTCCCAGCTCAGAGGCGGTGAGCTGCATTGGCGCCAACAGCACCTCCCCACCCCCACCCCCCAGTTGAAATGACAAGACATGTAAAGAAGTCTCAAAACCAGACTTCCAGATCACCTACAGCAACCCCAAAGGGAAATGAGATGGAACACTCTGGTACTCAACCACCTGGACCCACTGAACTGGCAACAAAAGGGGATCTGGAAAAAATGAAATCAGAAATAATTTCTCAGATAACAGGAGAGAT